ATCAGTGATTCTCATTGCTCTATAGAAAGGTCCATTTATCCTACCACATTTAACAAGTCGGTTTAACTGACAACAAATATCTAGCCCTGCGCTGCAGAGGATGATTGCAATTTTCTTCTAGTATTGTAATATAACTCATTAGAAGCTTAACAAACTTACAAATAACTCTGCTTTATGTTTGAAAACCTTATGGTTGCTTAACTATTACTGCTTCCACTCTAAACTCCTCTTTAGATTTTATTTCTTAGGTTATTTATATGAATCAAAATACAGCATCCTCATAGGTGGGTTTTAAAGTGATCACCTGCATTTAAACTGCAGTCATTCCACTGCAGCAAACAAACTGTAAAGGAGAAAAAATATTTCCTCTGATCAAAGATGCTTGCTCCTCAGTGGACAAAAAGTCCAAAACAGTCAGGCTTTAATTCCTTTCTTATTTAGCACCTGGAATGTCATCAATGTGATAGTTGTTATAGTCCTAATGATCTTGACAGAAGAGCGCCATTTTTGGACCAAGGACCTAGTAAAATGTTTCTTAGTCATGATAGTCATATTGGCTACATATGCACACAGAAACTAATTCTTCTGTCTTCTATTCCTTAGTAGGTAAGGAGAAGTGTGAACTTGTGGACTCTGGTAAGAGAAAATAGCAGAAAATACAAGTGGAAAAATGAGTCATATATTTTGTAAAAATATATTCCCTAGAATAATATTCCTGCTAAATGCAAGAGACTCCTACTGCATCAGTCTGTGATTATGCACAAAAGTACATATCTGTGAAAGCGGTCCTTTGTCCTGCTTGAATCCTTTAGCAGCAAAAAGTTTTAAAAAAGTTTTCTTATTAGGATGACTTTGGAAACTAACTTCTAGGTTTGCATGAAAAAAGAGCCCAGCAGAAATAAATGGGCTTCACAGAAAATGAGCTAGCATAGAATTTAAGAACAGAATTTAAGACCTTGAAATAGCAGGAGCAGTACCTCTGATGGTGTGTACTTTCCAGCTGCTCTGGAAGTTGGGGCATGGAAACTGGGATGCTTTCATAATTTCTTGGGGAAAAAAACAAGGAAAGAAAGGTCCATTTATCCTACCACATTTAACAAGTCGGTTTAACTGACAACAAATATCTAGCCCTGCGCTGCAGAGGATGATTGCAATTTTCTTCTAGTATTGTAATATAACTCATTAGAAGCTTAACAAACTTACAAATAACTCTGCTTTATGTTTGAAAACCTTATGGTTGCTTAACTATTACTGCTTCCACTCTAAACTCCTCTTTAGATTTTATTTCTTAGGTTATTTATATGAATCAAAATACAGCATCCTCATAGGTGGGTTTTAAAGTGATCACCTGCATTTAAACTGCAGTCATTCCACTGCAGCAAACAAACTGTAAAGGAGAAAAAATATTTCCTCTGATCAAAGATGCTTGCTCCTCAGTGGACAAAAAGTCCAAAACAGTCAGGCTTTAATTCCTTTCTTATTTAGCACCTGGAATGTCATCAATGTGATAGTTGTTATAGTCCTAATGATCTTGACAGAAGAGCGCCATTTTTGGACCAAGGACCTAGTAAAATGTTTCTTAGTCATGATAGTCATATTGGCTACATATGCACACAGAAACTAATTCTTCTGTCTTCTATTCCTTAGTAGGTAAGGAGAAGTGTGAACTTGTGGACTCTGGTAAGAGAAAATAGCAGAAAATACAAGTGGAAAAATGAGTCATATATTTTGTAAAAATATATTCCCTAGAATAATATTCCTGCTAAATGCAAGAGACTCCTACTGCATCAGTCTGTGATTATGCACAAAAGTACATATCTGTGAAAGCGGTCCTTTGTCCTGCTTGAATCCTTTAGCAGCAAAAAGTTTTAAAAAAGTTTTCTTATTAGGATGACTTTGGAAACTAACTTCTAGGTTTGCATGAAAAAAGAGCCCAGCAGAAATAAATGGGCTTCACAGAAAATGAGCTAGCATAGAATTTAAGAACAGAATTTAAGACCTTGAAATAGCAGGAGCAGTACCTCTGATGGTGTGTACTTTCCAGCTGCTCTGGAAGTTGGGGCATGGAAACTGGGATGCTTTCATAATTTCTTGGGGAAAAAAACAAGGAAAATATTAAGACTAGTTTGTTTTGGGGGCTACTAGGAGCATTGGTATGCAGCATGGGCCTCAATAAGAGTGGCAAAACACATTTGAGAAACTGAGCTAATCATTGGACTGTTCATAAGTCTTAGCTCTGACTCTCCAACCACCACAGTTATGCTGCTATCAGTTTTTAAGATAGGAGAGTTTGTGTACGTAATTACTAAAACCAGCACTGTAGCTATGCCCAAAGTTTGCACTATTTATATATTCTAATATAAACATAGGAAAGTTTACATAATGATGCAAATTCTCATACAGAAGTATTTATGGAAGATAAAATTGCTGTGTCTGAAAAGGTATTGCCTGACCTATCTGTTAACAAAGTTAGTTTTTATCTGGTATTGTATTTAGCCAAATGTTATCATCAATCTTGCAATCTCTTCTATTTACAGTTCAGTATGGCAAAATTTGGTAGCTATAAGAAAGTGAAACATAGCAGCCTTGAAATCTGAGCAGTAGAAAAACAATAATTTGATGGTGTAAAATAGTCGGACAGAAATACATAGTACTGAATCCTAAGAGAAAACATCTGTCCCTGCACTCGGCCATGCAAGCCTTCTCTTTCATCTGCTCTGTGCCTGTAGTACAAAGTTTGAAAACGGTTGTATAATCCTTAGGTTAACATATCATTTCATGATATGGACCATCAACTATCTTATGATAGCAATTCTTTCTTTAGAAACTGCTTTAAGATCTGTTGGTATTCATCATATCTTCCTGCTGGTAGCTTCATGTAAACCCCTTAAATCTGGAGGAGGCTTTATTTGAGGCTCTGTTTCTCACAACATAAAGAATAAAAGACAGTACCAAATTGTGTGTCAGAGAGAGAGTGATATTAAGGGCATGCTTGCAAAAAAAGGATTTTTTTTTATGCTGCAAAGTCATCTAGTAGCAAAAGAGAATAACGGAATGTTTTTATTGTTCTTTAGCTAGGGACACATTCTTCTTGTTTCATCCAATAACA